ACTTGAGTCTGCTAATTGGCTGGGTTTGGGTGGAACCATAGGGGTATAGAAATTGTCTTCTTTACTGACCAGGTTCTTGGGTGCGGTCACAAGACCAGTTGATTCGGTTCCTCATTATGGGCCGCTGGTCTGGGTGGGTCGGCAGTTCCACTGGAACATGGGACCTGGAAGATATCTCGAAAACTACCCCAAAGTTTCAAAATGTGATGGTATCTGTGGAGAAAGCAAAGAATCTTTATGGCCACCAGCTATGTGGCTCCAGAGTGGCAATTTATAGAGAAGCAAACGGGACAGTGGCTAATTTTTATCATTATTTTTAACTAGGCCTGTGCCTTATTTTTAGCTAGCCCCTTACCACACTTCTTGCCTTGCACCCCTTTATCAGTTGGAGAGGTGGTTTCACTATTAATCTGCCTTTTGTCAGTTGGCTTTCAGCGAACCTTCAGAGGGCGGAACGGGAAGTTTTCTCCTGGTCCCTACACCCACCCTTACCTAGCATACCGCTCTTCAGACCCTTGAGTTACGGAAAGCTCGGCACTTGTCCTCGAGGCTGCATCAGAAGAGCAAGAACAAGTGGTTTGAGGAGAAGGAAAGAAAATATTTTTGCCCTTTTTCTCATGCCATTCCCTCTGTTACACTTGGAATCTCTAAAGTGTCATCTTTTTGTATGATAATGAGTTGTAGGGTGGCTTGCAGCCCCTGTGTAGCTGCCGGACGGGGCTGGTCACTGGAAAGACCAAGGCAGCATTAGAGGGTTGGGACTTTCATCCCATCCCCACCCTTGGGGGAGCGGAGAGGGGCTGAAGGTTGAGTTGATTTTGTGAACTAAAATAAAATCTCAAGGTTCCCCCCCCCGCTACTGGCTGACTGAATGGACCCCCCTCTTGGCCAAGGGGATACCCTAAAACTGAGTTGCTGGCCATGAGAGGGGATGTCAGACATGCCTCATCATGCCCCCTCCCTTCTTGGGGACATCCTTTGTAACTCATAGACAGGCCTAAGGCTGTGCAAGACACACCTGCAGGTCCTCAATTCACATAACAAATCAGAGTCTGGGAATATGTCTGGTGGCTTGTCTCTGATTAACAGGCTTCCTGAAGTTAAAACATTCCAAGCCTTTAGGCAAAGCTTCATTTATTTAACCAATTACAAGTCAAAGAGTCTTTAAATCCACCTATAACATCTCAAAGCATGTAAGTCCATGCTTTGAGATGTCCCACCTTTTTGGGCCAAACCACTGTATGCCTTCCATGTATTGACCGATGACTTTACCTGTAATTCCTGTCTCCCTGAACTGTATAAAACCAAACTGGAACCCAGCCACAGCAAGTCCACTTGCTCAAGGCTTCTTGGGTGTGGCTTTGGGCATGGTCCTCAAATTTGGCTCAGAATAAACTAAATTACTTTACAGAATTTTGCTTCTTTTCCGTTGACAGTTTAATCAATCATGCCTACATAATGAAGCCTCCACAAAAACTCAAAAGGACCGGGTTTGGAGAGCTTCCAGATAGCTGAGCATGTGGAGGTTCCTGAGGGCCTGGGAGCTCTGTGCCCCGTCCCCTACACCCTGCCCTATACATCTCTTCATCTGTATCCTTCGTGATATCCTTTATGATAAGCCAGAAAGCATAAGTGTTTCTCTGAATTCTGTGAGCTGCTCTAGCAAATTAATTAAACCCAAGGAAGAGTTGTGGGACACCTTATTTCTAACCAGTTGGTCAAAGGCACAAGTAAACCACTTAGGACTGGCATTCAGGTAAGCGGTGTCAGGATTGAACTGAATTAGAGCACATCCAACTGGAGTCCGCTGCAAAACTGATTGCTTGCTTGGGGTGTGGGGAGAAGTCTGTTTCTGAGAAAGGTGCATAGAAACGGAGTGCATTGGTTCCGGGGGCTCAGAGCCAGCGTGGGTCGTCAGTTCATAGGTGGAGATGCCGGTACTGGGCAAGTGTTCATTGAGAGCATTGCAGTCCTAAAAGCATGTCTGGTGATGAGAAGGACGCAAAAGGGCTTCTTGTGGGGCTTTTAGAAAGTCCTTATAAAGTTCTTATCTCGCACGAGTAACCAGGAGTCTCCTCTCCATCCCGCCTTCCCCGCCCTGTTTTGTCTCAGTCTGATTTCATCCCGATATCTGCTACTTGCACAAGAAAAAGCGGCACTGATCTCAGACCCTCCTCGCACAGCTGGCCTTAGCGAGCTGGGGGAGAGGCCTGTCCCGGCCCAAGTGTCCTATCTGAACCACTGCAGGCCCGGGGGGCAATTCCTGGGATCAGCTGTTTCCAAGGTGCTAGGGAGACTCGCTTTTCTGAGACCTTACCCTGTACCATTTTGGTTAGGGTGTGACATAAATGACTCCAGTTTGTTATCGTTAACTCTCGCGAGGTCCTCCCTTGGCCTCCCCTTTGGTCTTCGCTGGGCCCCCTAAGTCCTCCCTCCGCCTCCCCCAACCCCTCGGCCTCCCCGGATCCTGCCCCGGCCTCCCCCGACCCCGGAACTCCCGGGTCCTCCCTCGACCCCTGCCGGTCCCCGGGTCTCCCCTCGGCCCCCTCCCAACCCTCGCTGGCCCGCCCAGCAGGGACTGAGGTCGCAGTCGCGCGGGCTCCGCCCCCGCCCCCGTACGACCCAGCTCCGCCCTGGCCCGCCCCCAGGTCCGGCCCCGCCCCCCGGGTTGCACGCCGCGGCCGCGCCCTGGTTGGGGGAGTCATACCCCTAGCCGCAGAGCCCCGCCCATTCCGGCCTGGCCCCGCCCAGGGGTGCGTCACTGCCGCGCGACGCAGCGCGGACGTCTGACGTAGTGGGCTGTGGGACGCGAGCGCCACCGCTGCCCGATGGGACGTGCCCTCGTGCGTGGTCCCGTCTCGGACTTCAGTTTCCCGCCTGCTGGTGGGGTCTCGGACTGCCGGTCCTCGGAGCTCCTGCGCAGCTGCGGTGGCGGCAGCAGGTTGGCGCCTCGTGCGAGCGGGAGCGGCCCCGGGGGCGGGAGGCGGGGAAGGGGACGCGGGTGCACCTGTCCCGAGGCCCTGGACGGAGGCGGGAGCGGCAGAGGCTTTCCCCCCGACCCACCCCGGGTAGGCCCTGGCTTGTCTTGGGGAGGGCGAGGGAAGGGAGGACGTGAGCGTAGGCCGCTGAGCGCGATTTCTATTTAGAGACAGCAGAACCCCTTCGGGTCCCCTCCTTGCTTGGGGAACCCTTGCTCCTGGCCACCGTGCAGCCTTATTTCCTGTAGTCTGAGTATCGGAAACGCTTGGCTTTCACGCTGGATACCTCAGCACAGGCTCACCTGGGAATCGGGGGCATAGCCGAGCGGTCCTGGGCCTCCGTTCTCCTTCCGAACACAGGTGTGATAATTCTCATCTCCCTGGGTTCTTGTGAAAACTCGCCACGACTTCAGAAAGCAAAGTGTGAGTGCGAGCCAAGCTCTACCGTTTATGCTGCACTGCGTTCAACCTGGTCCCTGACTCGGGAACCCACCAGAATGGGCGGCCCAGGCCCTGCCACAGACTGACTAAGAATCTCTGGGAGTAGGGCCCCGGCACGTTTTTGGAGAAAACTCCCCAGGCGATTCTAATCTGAGAAGTCCGGAGGGTTACTGGGAGAGGCTGGAAGGTGCGTGTTGGAGACGGACCGGGGTCTGTGGCTTCATTCCAGGATGGGATTTGGTGAGGACCAAGTAGGTGGAGGAACCTTCCCTTATGAAGATCTCTTCTTTCTTTGCCTAGCAGGTCGCACACCAGGGCCTGTGACTGACCACCTCCACGTGCCACCGGGCTCTGAGGAGGAATGGCAGCCGTTGGCAGCCTGTTTGGGTAAGCATGTACCTGCAGGCCCCTTGGAATTATTGTCAGGGGCCACCTCAGGGAACCACCCTGTCATCATCAGGAGAGGGCTGTTCTAACCCTGCCTGGTCCTGGCTGTTGTCCTCTGTCCTCGGTGCTGGGAAACTGTGCCATCGTTGACCTCTACCAGCCTCTTCCTGGCTGTGGGAGTAGAGCTGCTCTGACCACACCTGTGGTTCCTCAGGGACCCCCGGGCACATCCTGTCCCTGGATCACCTGGATCACCAACTCCATTAGTGTCTCCGGAGGCCCATCTCTGCCCCAGAACCATCCACTGACCGGTGTGTACATGTTTGTCTGTAGCCTGCTGAGGCAGAATGCTGTGAAGGCAGCTGGCCCTGCGCCCTGTCGCCTGCACACATCGTCCTGGTGGGCCGACAGCAGCAGGGCCTCGCTCACTCGCCTGCGCCGACAAACCTATGCACGCCTCTACCCAGTGCTCCTGGTCAAGCAGGATGGCTCCACCATCCACATCCGCTACAGGGAGCCACGGCGCATGCTGGCGGTAAGCTGCCTGCACCAGGCGCTCCCTAATGCTTGGCTGGAGGCCAAGGCTGTGGAGGTTGGGATGGTGGCCTGAAGGCTTGGGATGGACAGGTGGCTGCGGAGGGGGGGGTGGGGGTGGGGCTAGGTTGTAGGAGGAGAGGGGGAGGGTTGAGGCCCAGAACCCATTCTAAGCACCAACCTCAGATAAAATGAATGAGTTGGGTTTTTTTTTAATAATGTATCAAATCTGGGGAAAATGAGCAGAAAAAAAAATTTTTCTTAACGAAAGCTCTGAAGGGAGAGAAAGACCAACAGAACATATAAAAATTAAGCTAGGAGATGCAGTCCTAGAGGAGGACACAGGGCGGTGTCTCAGTAGTTCCCTAGGTCCCAAGCCGTGTGGATGCATTTGGCTTCCCCTGCAGATGCCCATAGACCTGGACGCCCTGTCCCCTGAGGAACGCCGGGCCAGGCTACGGAAGCGAGAGGCTCGGCTCCAGCCCAGGAAGGAGTACGGGCAGGAGCCTGGTGATGACTTTGACATGGAGCGCTACCGGCGGTTCTGGACCAGGACCAAGAAGTGACCGTGGCTGGGGTTGTCTTGGGGACTTGCTAGGACCGGAGGGCCTGTGTTGTTAAATGACACTTTCTGGAAGGCCCTGCTTCAAGTCTGTGTCTGTGTCTCCCATATTGGTGTGCAGCTTGCCTCCCTGAAGAACACCAGTTCAGACGCCCAGAGGCTTCAGGGTTGGTTTAGGTCAAACCTGTGGGTTTGGGACGCTGCTCCAGGGCTGTGGTGCACACGGACAGCTGGGCAGGGGACACCCAGGACTCCCAGCCTCAGGAGCACCCAGGTTACTGATTTCCTGACAGCACAGTGGCCCTTGAGGCAGTGATTAGGACCCAGATAGCAGCCTCAGCCAGGCAGCCCTGGGGAAGAAGGTCCCGCCCCTCTGAGGGCCCCCAGCGGGGCAGCCAACCCTGGTGGTCTCTGACTCCTCCCGGAGTCTGCAGAACACTGAAGTTACAGCCAGGGCAGATCCACACACCCTGCTGCATTTGCCCAGGGGTTGATTTCACCAGACGTGGGAGGGCACGTTCCAAACTTGTACACCAGACACAGGCTTGGGACCTGCAGGATGCACGGGTGCTCTCCCTCCCCATCCTGGGGTGTCTCAGGGCCCCAGGCCTACTCCAGGTCTCTGTCTTATCACACCTCTGTGCTCTGGGGCTGCTTTTTTTCCTGTCTTGGGCCATGTCGGCACCCTGTGGCTGCATTTCTGGGTCCTGGCTCCCGGGCTGTGTCCTGGAGAGTCCGACGCTGTGTCAGTGGGTAGCGTTCTAGGACGACGGGGGAGGTGGACGTGCCGTCGGTCTGGGGTCACCCTGTAATGATCGGCTTGTGGCTGAGGGCAGCTGGGCAGAGCCCCGTCTGCACAGGGACGCCCCCGCCCCCACATCTGTTCCTGTGACTCTGCAGCGTCTGACCTCAACTGTGGTGCCATGTGCTTTCTGGCCTTGCCCAGGCCTGTGGGCAGCCCACTGTGCCCTGCAAGGTTCCCACATGAAGCCTCCCTGACCTCTGCCCTCCTGGGGCTGCAGTACGCACCCCTACCCCAACCCCTCTGCCCTGGGCTTCCAGGCCATGCAGCTTCCACCCTGTGACCCCTCAATGGCTCATTGTACTAACAGGGTCGAAACTGACCTGCCCTTCCCCACCAGCCTGCTCCTCCTATGGACAAGTGGGTGCGATGTTGTCAGACCGCTGGGGCCAGAGCCTCAGAATGGTCGTGGACTGCTGCCCCACATCCACCCGACCCCCAACCCACTCCATCCCCTCTTGGCCACAACCGACACCCAGTCGATGGTCAGATGCATCAGCCCCGCCTTGCCCACCTGGCCTGGCCACAGGCTGTGGCCCCCGGGAGACTCTGCTCTATGCCCTTGGGAGTCACCTGGTCATCCTCTGTGCACCTCCTGTGGCCCACAAGACTGCCTGGGGCTGCTGCTTCCTCGCTTCCTGGCAACTTCCCTCTGGACTGTGTACGCCATGCACCTGTTCCCCATGGGACATGGGATGTGTCTTCCTGAACCTGGACAAATGCTCGTGGCTCCTCCTGGTGCCTCTGTGGGAAGACGCCAGGTTGATACTCGTTGAGTAGATGGGTGAGGGAGTTCCCACAGGGGAATGCCCCAAACCATCCCCAGATGGGGCCAGCTGGGATTCCAAAGAAGGAATCACTGGACGCCAGGGTGATCAGTGTAGGCCAGGGCCGGGGAAACTTAGGGTAGCCTTAAGCCCACATGTGGCCTTCTAGGTCCTTAAGTGCAGCCTTTTGATTGAATCCAAATTTTACAGAACAAATCCTTTTATTTTTATTAATACATTTTTGTTCATCTTTTATACTTTCGTTTTTAAAATGAATTATTTAAAATACCAAAGAATAAGTTTCAATGAGATAATCCTTCCCGATTGGCACAATTAGAATATTAGTAAACCGTAAGGGCTGAGTTGAAGGCTGCTGTGCTCATGATTTACTTCTAAATCCCCCCGCCTGTCTGGCGCCGCTGCTGCACGAAGCCGGTTGGCGCGGGTTTATGGGGTCGAGTGCGCCAGTCTGTTACCAGCTTTTGACAAGGATGCGCTGTGTTTCTGTTTGAAGTGGAATTTGTGAATAGTTGCACAGCTCCACAGTATTTTTTAATTCTGTCTGCTTAACCACCCATCATGTCAAAGAAGACCAAGGCAATGCTGAAGGAAGAAAACATTTTTAAATGAAGATTGGGAATTGCAGTATTATCTTGTTTCTGCTAAAGATAAGGTGATTTGCTTGCTTTGTGCTATGGCAGTATCAACATTAAAGAAATTCAATGCTCATCAACATTGTAACACTCATAAGGACCACAGATATTTTTAAATTGGAGAGGTGCGCAAGGTTGTAGTGCAAAAATCAAAAGACAAAAAGCAAAGATAATTCTTTCAAGCAGCAATAAGACCTGGAAAGAATGCCACTGAAACAAATTTTAAAGTAGCTTGTATAGTCAAGGAAAAAGGGAAGCCATTCAGTAATGTAGAAATTGTGGAAGAATGCGTTGTTGAAGTTGTTGAAGTTGTAGGATGCTTAGATTCTGATAACGTTTCAAAGTACAAACAACTGCCTCTTTCAAGGAGAACCATAACTGGCAGTGTGAATTAGCCTTCAACGTAACAGAATAACTTCATGCACTATTTCGAAATGAAAATGTGTATTATTCAGTCGCTTTGGATGAATCAACTTATACTACTGACTTGGTGCAGGTTTTATAATTCATGTGGGTCATAGCAGAAGACTCTTCTTTGCTATGAAATTAGTTGCTTTGGCACTCTTGCGAACAGAACACAGGAAATAGGTACCTTCAACAACTTTAAAGAAAAATGTGAAGTTGGACTGAATTTGGTAAATTTAGCGAGTGTATATAAAGACAGTGCACCTTTATGACAGGAAAACATGAAGGGTATATTGCACAGATAAAAAGAAGCATTAACAATCCAGATGTTCTCATTTCTTTTCATTGTATTCTGCATGAGCAAAATCTCTGTGCTAAAGCTACTATTTTAAGTGGCACTTTGCAACAAGCTATAAGTATTGTTGACTCTATTCCTACAAATGCAACACAGTATCCTCAGTTTTATAACATGCTAAAGTTCAACAATGAGCTATTCAGGGTGGATTTGCTGTGTATTCTAAAGTGTGCTGGCTATCACAGGGGCAGGTGTTAGCCAAATTTTTTGTCCGTGAGAATAGATAGTTAAATTTTATGAAGAGCAGAATCAGCAATGTGAATTATTGAAAGATTTCTGTAGAAATGCAGCGTTTCTGTGCTGCATGTCAAATCAAAATGACTGGAATATTTTTCTTTTTTTTGAGACAAAATCTCGCTCTGTTGCCAAAGCTAACTAGAGTGCCCTGGTGTCAGCCAAGCTCACAGAAACCTCAAACGCCTGGGCTCAAGCATTCCTCCCGCCTCAGCCTCCCAAGTAGCTGGGACTACAGTCGAACACCAGCACACCCAGCTGAGTTGTTTTCTAGTTTTAGTTGTCCAGGTAATTTTTCTATTTTTAGTAGAGACAGAGTCTCACTTTTGCTCAGTTTGGTCTTGAACTCCTGACCTCAAGCGATCCTCCAGGCTTGGCCTCCCAGAGTGCTAGGATTACAGGCATGAGCCACCACGCCTGGCCAGTAGATGACATTTTAAAGTCATCGTTTGATGCTAAGAAAGATCTAACTGAAATATGGAAAAATGCAGTAGAATACCCATGCCTTTGGCAACATGCCCCAAAAATGCTTTCTTGCTTTTCAACCACTTATTGCTGCAAATCTAATTCTGCTACCTAACCCACATCAAGATGCCCTTAATGTCACAAATGACTGACACCCATCTAGAGGATCAACTGAAACTGTGGACCTCTGTGCTGCAACCAAATATTCAAATGCTTTCCAACAAAAAGCAGACACAACAAAGTCATTAAAAAGTTAATTTTAATATTAACAAATAGTTTTGCTTTTTGAAATTATTAAGTACATAGTAGTTAGGTTTTTACAAAATGATGGACATTTTTAAGTATATCTAATTGAAGTTTCTTGAATGTGGCCTTATTTCATTATAGCTAAATTAATGCGGCTTCCAACATGAAAAGCTTCCCCACCCTGGGCCCGAGCATTTATTAGGGGAGCTTGCAAACAGAGGGCTGCAGCGCCTTGTTGTACAGACAGCCAAAGAGAAAAGTTCTACTCAGGTGTGTCCTCAGCAAGGGGGGCAGTGTAGGAACCTTAAGGAATTTGGCTCAGTGTCTGGGGCAACCACCTAGACACCTTTATCAGCACCTGGGAATGTTCAAAGCCAGCAGAGGGAAACGTGCAGCTGGGTGTGTCACAGGGCGGCCAAGGCACTCTGTGTTTCTCTGCAGGGACACAGAAAGAAAGCGGGAGGTGGGACTGGGAGGCCCTACAACGTCCCAAATCAGGGTCCCTTTTGTTAATATAAAGCCAGTAACCAATCCTATTCGTGAGGCTCCACTCTTGTGACCTAATCACTTTTCAACGGCTCCACCTCCAAACACCATCACCTTGGGGGTGAGGGTTTCCACATGTGAATATTGAGGGGACACATTGAGTTTATTGCAGCAGGGATGGGAACGGAGGCTGCTGAGTGGAGCCATCTCTGGTCCGTGAGCGCACTGAAAGCTGCTGTATTAGCCGAATGTTCTGGATAAGACAGAGAAACTGCGCAAATCATTAAATGCCTTAACTTGTATGACTCCCGATGCGGCATCATCAGCTGGCAGTGACAACCAGTGATTCAAAGAGTGCCAAATGACAGTGCATCTTCGAACAGCTTCTTAATTATTCCAGACTTTCCACATCGCCCCATCAGAGCAAAATGCAATCCCGTTTGTTTTCCATACTTGATAGTACAGCCACAGTGGCTAAGGGAACGCCCGTAGGGCAGCAACCCTGCACCGCATCGCCCCGAAACAGGGAAGCAGCGACCGCAGGGCGCAGGCGCGCGGGCTGCATTCTAATTGGTTTTGCGCTGCTTTCCGCTACGCTTGGCGCAGGGAGTGACTGATCCGGGGTTTCGCTCTGGTGACTCTATGGCCTCTCACTATAACTTACTGTTGTGTTCAGTCTGTTAATAGAAAAAACTCGCGAACTCTGTAAAATGATTTAGAGAGGTTTATTCTGAGCCAGTGTCTGTGACCTCAGCCCAGGGAGCCACGCCCAAGAAGCCTTGAGCAAGTGGTTCTGAGGTGATTGGGTTATAGTTTGGTTTTACACATTTTAGGGAGAGCAGAATTGAGAGTAAAATCATAAATCAATACATAGAAGCTGTACATTGGTTTGGCCCAAAAGGCAGCACATCTCAAAGTGGGGGCTTACAGGTTATAGGCAGGTTCAGAGATTTTTTGATTTGTAACTGGTTAAAGACATAAAGCTTTGTCTAAGGCGCAGAATGTGTCAATTACAAAGTTTGTTAAACAGACAAGCCAAAACATAGAGACTCAAGCCATTTGTTAAATTGGCCTACAGGTGCTTTAACCTTTGCCCTCCATGGCCTTATTGTTAATAATTTAGTATCTATTGTCACAGAGTCTGTTTTGTCAGTCCTACGATTTTTGTTTTAAGATCAATGCTGGTCAGCTGTTGCATTAAACTCTAAAAGGAAGGGGGTACAGCAAGGCGTGTCCGATCCCTCTTCTCTCCGTGGCCGGGATCTCAGTTTCAAGGTGTTTCTGCGGTCCCCTTGGACAACAGGGACTCCGTTCAGTGGGCAGGAGGCTTGGGATTTTATGTCAGTCTCTGCGGGGAACAGGGATCCTAGCCCTCGTCAACGCCCGAGCGGGGTCGTGGTCGGATTTCCGCGAGGTTCCACCGACTAGCATTCCCCGGCCTCCTGCGGCACAGGGTACGTCCGCCAGGCGGGGTCGGAGCTGCGCGCCCGTCGGCGAGCCCGGGACCGCGGTGCGCAGGCGCGCGGCGCGACGCATTGCGCAGGCGCCTTCGGCCGAGGTCGGGGTGACGCGCAGGCGCCCGAGGCCCGGGCCGGCAATGCGAGGGCGACAGGCCGGCGCGGGCGTGACGTCACAGCGTGCGGCGCAGGGGCAGGCGGGTCAGGCCCGGCTAGGGTCCGGCGGTCGGGTCCGCGGGTCCTGGGCCGCGGGCGGCGGCCGCGCGGCGCCATGTTCGGCTCCAGCCGTGGCGGGGTGCGCGGCGGGCAGGACCAGTTCAACTGGGAGGACGTGAAGACCGACAAGCAGAGGGAGAACTACCTGGGTGCGTGCGCGGCGGGCGGGCGGGGGTCCCGGGTCCGCAGGAAGGCGGCCGGGGTGGTCCTGGGGCGGGTGGGCGCGGGGTTCACGGCGCCTGCCCCCGCAGGTAACTCGCTGATGGCGCCCGTGGGCCGCTGGCAGAAGGGCCGCGACCTCACCTGGTACGCCAAGGGCCGGGCGCCCTGCGCGGGGCCGAGCCGCGAGGAGGAGCTGGCGGCTGTGCGGCAGGCGGAGCGCGAGGCGCTGCTGGCAGCGCTGTAAGTGTCCCCGGGGTGGGGGCTGTGGTGGGGACGGGGGCCTGAGAGGGCCCCCAGGGGCTGCAGCGGTCGGGGTGCAGGGGACAGGGGCGGCGGAGAACGAGGAAGGAGGGCCCTCGGCACCCTGACACCCGCCCTTGGCCCCCTGGCAGCGGCTACAAGAACGTGAAGAAGCAGCCCACCGGCCTGAGCAAGGAGGTCAGTCCCGGAGTGGGCGGTGCAGGTGGAGCGTGGGGGTGGGCGGGTCTGGTCGCCGGGCCACCCTAGCCACCCTCCTCTCGGTGTTCCTCAGGACTTCGTGGAGGTGTGCAAGCGGGAAGGCGGTGACTCCGAGAAGGGCGTGGACCGGCTGCTGGGGCTGGGCAGCGCCAGGTGTGGCCGCGTCCTGGGGGGCTTGGGCGGGGCCGGGCCCTGCAGGGCAGCACTCAACACCATGTCCCTGCAGTGGCTCCGCGGGCCGCGTGGCACTGTCTCGGGAGGACAAGGAGGCCGCCAAGCTGGGGCTGGCTGTGTTCACGGTAATCCTCCTCCCCACAACGCAGCGGGGTCCCATGCACTGGGGGAAACGGGAAGCCGGTGGGGGTGGGGGTGCGACTGGGACTCCCTGAACCGCTTGAGGGAGACCCCTCCCCAAAGCGCGCTGGCTTCGCTGCAGCACCACCGCGTGGAGAGCGGCGGGCCTGGGGCTTCAGCAGCCTCAGCCAGGAGGAAGCCGCGAACCGAAGACCAGGCAGAGGCCAGGTGAGCCGCCCTGTTCTATTCTGCTTTCCTTGTCGTTCCTCCTCCTCCTGGGTTGTCCCCAGAGAGTGAGTTCTTTTGGGTCACCCTCGGGAGGAGAGAGTTCCAAGGCAGGCAGGACTGTCCTACAGGGCCCCATGTGGTGGGCTGTACTTCAGGGTGGGGCCCAAGGAGCTGGGGAGTTACATGGGGTCACAGCAGGCACCCCACCCTGCCGGGTGTAGGCAGGTGGGTGCTGTCATGATTGGGGCATCCCATGTCTTCGCTGTGCCCCTTGGTGACCACTGGCCACGTGTGACTGTCCAGCATCTGAAATGTGGCCTACCTGGCTGAATTTTGGATTAGTTCCATTTAACTGACCACACTCATGCGTGGGCAATGGGCTCCCCTCCTCCCAAGGAGACCTAGCCCAGTGGCTCCCAGTGCTGGGCGGAGACCCATTCTGTGCCCCCCTCGCAGCTCTGAGAGCCACAAGAAGAGCAAGAAAGAGAAGAAGAAAAAGAAGAAGAAGAGACACAAGAAAGAGAAGAAGAAAGACAAGGAGCACAGGCGGCAGGCTGAGACCCCCGCGCCCACTTCTCCTGCTGGGTAAGCCCAGCCCGGCTCTGCTTCTTGGGGGCGGGCGTCCGGTCAACCTCTCTGAGTGTCTGGCCTGTCTCCCCAGGCCTGGGCACCGCCGCCATGACTCTGACTCCTCCTCCCCCTGCTGCAAGAGGAGGAAGGGACACAGCGGGGATGGTGGGAGAAGCCCATCCTCCCGCCGGCGGCAGGACGGAGACTCTGATGCCTGAGTTGAGGACCCTGCCTGCCTGGCGCTCGCTCTCGCCCCTCCTGTCTGGGTGAGGTTGAGGGCTGCTCCCTGGGCCTGGCCTGCTGGGCCTCTGGAGCTGGCCAGCCAGCTAGGAGGGGCCTGCTTGGTGGAAACTCCTCCAGGGGAGCAAGCCCTGGGTGCATGCGGAGGCCAGCAGGTTCTCCGGGGAGCATGCCCTGGCTCCCCACGCGGCCTGGCTTTGGTCTGACAGCCCCCGGCCCGCAGGCAAAGGTGAGCCTGCCCAGGAGGTCCCAGCAGAGACCCAGCTCCGTGTCCTGTGTGACCTGAGCACCCCAACCCCTCTGCCTCTCGTTTAGCTGTGGCCAAGTAGGGTTACATCTATTTTTCTTTATATTGACTTGCTCTTTGTACTTAAATAAATTTATTTTAAAAGGAAAGTTCATCATCACACTAATTGGAAGGTGTCAGGAGGCACCTTGACCCACTATGAGGCTGGAACATCCTTGGGGTCTGTCGTTCCTGAGGTCTGCGGGGTGGAGCTAGAGTCCTCCCCAGGTGGGGTCAGGGCTCAGCAGAAGGGGGTGCCCAGCTGGCAGTGTGGGTACCGAGGGCGGGGCTGCCTAGGCTGGGGTTGGGCGACCTGCCTGCTGAGACCCTTGGGAGTCCAGCCTGGCTGCTCGCAGGGTGCCAGGTGTCCTGCCTCCCCCTGGCCCACGAAGGGCCGTGGCTGTCCACCGCATGCGTGGCCACTGGGCGGATAAAGACACGTGGAACCCAGGCCGGATTCCTTATACATTCTCTTGCTTCTGATTTTAAATCAAACAACGCTTTCTCGAGGCCCTGGTCGGGTGTGGCTTGTGCTGTGTTGACGTCTGCCCTCGTCTGCCCTCACCTGCGTAGAGATTGCATTATCTTGGGCACAGGACAGGGAGTTGAGCAGGCACTGCTTCCTGGGTACCCTCTACAATCCCTCACACTGCCCACAGAGGGAAGGCCTGTTGGTGGCCACACCCCAACCAGAGGTCCCCCTGGGAAGTCCTCCTCACCCCAGGGAGGGGCCCTCCCCTGGCTGACGTAAAGCACCCATGGGCTAGCAGTGGCCCTGCCCACAGGCTGCCTCCACTGCACAGGCCGGGTCTCCCTGGCTGGGCCTGGTAGGGAGGGGACCACGAACAGACCGGCCAGGGGGGTATGGGCTCCTGCTGGGAGAACCTCTTCCCCACCCCCACCCCCTCCCAGTGGGGGGGCCACGGAACTAGAGCGGGGTGGCAGGTCACCTGCACTCTTCTGGCCGGGAGCTGCCTGCTCCCACCACACCCTTCTGGGGGCATCTGTTGGCAGCAGCACGGAAGCACCCGAAAGCCCATGAAATAGTGAAGAGATTTTATTCTAATAGCTATAATTACAGTGCTTGTTTGTCGAAATGAAAACTGAAAACAAGTATACAAAACAGTTGATTACTAATCGTGTATTGAAAGCAGTAAGAGGTTCCACGACACCAAATAGACCAGTTCTGAGGTTTTCCCCAAGATAAATTTAACAGCTCCAGCTTCTTCAGTGTTTATCAAAATACAAGAGAAAAGAGTAGAGGTCATCTTTTTCGATGGCAAATCGGACCCTTGCAGGCTGAGGGAGGGAAAGCGACTTCACACATTGGGGGCGGGGGCCGGGCGCCCAGCTCGTCCATACTCCTGCTGGTGAGGCCCCAGACATCCCGCTGTGTCTGAGCGGGAGCGAGCGTGGGGGATGCTGACCAAGGGACAGGTGGGCCCCCGTCCCCTGAGCGGGCGGGAGGGTGGCCAGGGGCTCCCAGCCAGGCCCCCAGGAGCCGAGGGAGCACGGGGACAAGCAAGGCTATGGAATGCAGGGTGCCCCAGGAACAAATGAGTCACAGGGTCTCTACGGTGACCATGCAGAATTGATGGGAGGTCTGCGTGCCACTGCCTCACGTCCCCAAGGGAACAGCCGAGCCAATGGCTGGCATTCAGGCTGTCGCTGCAAACCTACACTAAGCAGGTGGGGTCTCCCTTCTGTGTGTTCAAGTGTTCTCGTCTTGGATTTTAGCTATTTTAAAAAATGCACTGAGTCTGGGTTAAAAACCAATAGATCTCAATACAGCCCTCCAGCCAGGAGGGCCCGGCTCCAACAGTGGCTCCTGGTGGCCAGGTGCCCTCGGGCCTACACCCCTCTCAGCACTGAACAGTAAGTTGATTTTCCTTTTTACAATAAAAAAAGCTGAGTAATATTGCATAGGAGTACCAGAAACTGCCTCATTGGAAACAAAAACTATTTACATTAAATAAAAAACCTGGTTGCAGGCTGCGTCTGCCACATTTACAGCATGGTGCGATGCACACTGTGACCAAACCATGGAGACAGCTTCTGGCACTCATACCACAGAGTCGCACGTTTGCCACATGAGAGTGAAGCGGAGGGCGGAGAGGAAGGGGGGTGTCGCGTTCACTTCTGGTTCCGGAGCTGATTGGACAGCCAGTCCAGTCCTTCATAGAGCCCGTCCCCACTGGTGGCGCAGGTGGCCTGAATGTACCAGTTCCTGTGGCGGAGGGAGTGCAGCCCCAGCTTGTCTGTGATCTCGGCCGCATTCATGGCGTTGGGCAGGTCCTGGGGGTAAAGAGGGGTCAGCGAGGGGGCCTCCCTGGGGCAGAGAACAGGGGCCCCGCCAGCCTCACTCTCCCCTCGGCAGCCCAGGCACCCACCTGCTTGTTGGCGAACACCAGGAGGACCGCGTCCCTGAGCTCATCCTCAGCCAGCATCCGCATGAGCTCCTCACGGGCCTCGTTGACGCGCTCTCGGTCATTGCTGTCCACCACGAAGATCAGGCCTGCGGGGCAGCCAGCGTCACGCCAACCCTGGGGCAGCCCACCCAGCACACCCACAGGCCACGGGCCCAGCTGCAGAGGCCGGGGTGGGCCCAGGTGGTCCTGTGCCCCGCTGGGAGGCCGCTTCTCTCACCTTGTGTGTTCTGGAAGTAGTGGCGCCACAGAGGCCGGATCTTGTCCTGGCCGCCCACGTCCCACACCGTGAAGCTGATGTTCTTGTACTCCACCGTCTCCACGTTGAAGCCTGGGCAGGGTGCAGGGTGAGGCACCGCCCACTCGCCCCGCCCCTCAGGCCACCGCCCCGCCCCTACTCACCCCACCCCCACTCCATGGCCCCGCCCCACCCTGCCTCACCTATGGTGGGAATGGTGGTCACGATCTCGCCGAGCTTCAGCTTGTACAGGATCGTCGTCTTCCCCGCAGCATCCAGGCCCACCATGAGGATGCGCATTTCTTTTTTGCCAAAAAGGCCCTTGAAGAGGTTGGCAAAGATGTTCCCCATGGTCGTGGACGGGTGGCAGCGACACTGGCCAGGGACACCTGGGAGGGGAGCAAGGCGCTCTGCGTCTGTTTCTGTGCCGCTCGGTGGGAGCAGCAGCAGCGCTCACAAACCACCCTGCCGCCCACCCACCCACGCAGGGACCGTCCTCCACCGCCCTCCTGGAAACTCGAAGGCCGGGACATACTGTCCTCCCACGGCCCAGCAACAGAAAACGAACCCCGGCTCCCAGGCCCCTTGGGCTCCTGGCATCCACCTTAGGATGGAGAGGCTGGCAAGCTGCAGGAAAAGGGCTGAGTTGGGATCGGGAAGTGCTGCCCTGTCGCCAGGCCTGCACATCTCTCGCAAGGGATGGCTCGCTGCCTGGAGACCGGACGCACGCAAGGCTGCTCTTTGCTCCAACACGGAACCTTCAGGCACCAGAGAGAACCACTGACGCTCTTGTCAACGTTCAGGACAGCAGAGCACAGGCCTAAGGGCCCCACACACAGGGATGGGGGAGCTCAGGACACGAGCCAGCCTCCACCCTTCATGCTGGGAGCTCTGCAGATGCCAGACCAGGGTGAGGTCGGGCGGGCTCATCCGGCCGGCTCCAGCCACAGCTGCCCAGAGAGGAGGACGATTAGGGGTGCTGGCCACCTCAGGTGCATCCCAGCAGCCGGGCGCTGCCAGGTGCCTCAGGCTACCCTCAGTGGTGGGCTCCCGGGAAGGCATGTGCACTGTGTCTGCCCCACACCGTGACCACAGGGTCCACTCCGCAGAGCACAGACATGGAGACACCAATCAAATCGACTGGCACTGACCACCAGAGCCGGGGCAGACTGGAGGGGAGGGCTCCTCAGGCGGACACCTCTGGTGGGGAAAAAGGAGCTACCAGGCCCTGGCTGCAATGCCTGGGAGCGCGTGCATGCTCCAAGCACTTTTATTCCAAATAGGGACTTTAGAAAAACTGGTCACTTTATAAAATGCTGACTGCTAAAAAATTCGAGATTTTTAGCACCTAATAGTAAAATGAAACAATGGAGGACTTCAAAAAGCAACTGTGGAGTGGTGCCCGTGAGGGCTGGCAACAGGACGCAGGCCGCCCGAGCGCCTCCTCCCCCGGCTCCTGCTCCCCGGCAGTTCTTGGCTGAATCACGGCCGGCGACTGTCTGATGGCGATTCTCTCACGTGTCACTACTGCAGGGAAGTGCCTCTTCTCCATTTCTTACCATCCACACGGACCCATGCGGGCCAGGCTTGTTCAGTGGGCCAGAACCAGCTGCCCACTGCTGATCTGACGCTGCCATCATGCCCCATGCGGCCCGCAGAACCCCTTCAAGCTTGACCCAGTGCCCTTTGGACACTTGTCCTCTTTTGGTTTTGAACCACGTTACCTATTCAAAAACTTACACAAATTCTGAAATGTACAGAGACCTTTGCTGTAGCGGTCCCTTCTCTGGGCATGGCCAGGGTTCCTAAGCACAGAGGAAGAACACCCACAGGACACAGCAGACTAAACACACGCCTGTCTCAATCCCTCCTGCAAGTACTGCCAAGGAGAAAACCAAACAACTCACAAACCCCGCGGACAGAGAGAAAAGGGAGGGAGAAGACTCTGGAACCTGATGCTTGACCAGGCAGAGCAAGCTGGACCAACCCAGGGCTTGGGCTATGGGGCTTCGGGTGCTGCCTCCGCTGCAGGAGGCGAGGGGCCGTGAGAACCCACTCCGGTGAGACCCCTGGTTGGCTCTGGAACCCTGAGATCCCTGTACACCCCACTAAATCTGCACACGAGCACCCGGGGGCCCCCAAGGAGCCAAGCCCGATGTAAGAGACCCAAACAAAACAGGCAGGTGGAGGGAAACAAGACCCAGACACAAGAACATGTAAAAGGGAAAACCCCGAGCAAGCAAAAACCTCAGAAACCCAAACCACACGCAACACCAGCATCACAAATTACAAGGTACTATGTCCACAAAACAAGAACAGGGTATTATCACGAAGGGAAAAAAAAAGAGAAACCTAGTGGACACTACAAATAGCCAAAAGAAAAATTCACAATGAAG